TTCTACATAAAAATGCTTTGAAATTCAAATTTAGCAAAGTTGACTATGAATCATTGAAGACGGTTTGAAAATAAGGTTACTTGAAAAGCACTATGATTTTCAAAATGTGCAACAGCCTTGAACAATTGTTTCATGAGCTGGTGAAACTCAGTTTTAATGTTATTTATCATCGAGCTTCTGTGATCAATTTAATTCTTTGAACTGTAACATGTCGTATTTAATATCAGTATCATAAACTCCTTACAGTGCAATCAATACATTTTTCCATCATTTTTTTCATAATATTAGTAATTTATTTCATCATTTTTTTTATATATGCTAAGAGAGTCTTTACACGTGTATTAACTATTTGACTCTTTTATCTTTTATGGGTCCCTTTCATGGTCTTCTTTAATGTCGTTCATAGTGTTAGAAATATAATCAGACATCTTAGGTGGATATGATCCACCATGGTAGAAGTATAGATGATCTGAATCAACATTAGGGAACATGTTAAGATCGAAACAACAGCAATTTTCATATTCGCAATGATAACTCTATATCGATGAAGCATACAAATCATTTCGCTTTCGAGGACATATTGGATTTTGGATTGCATAGGAGAATTTTACAAAGAACATCGCTCAAAATAAAACTTCTTGTATAGAAAGATATAGGAATTTGATAAGTATATTGTTAGACATACATAACATTGTGATTCTAAATTTATGAAAATAAATGAAGTTATACATCATTCGCGAGTGCACGGCTATAGTAGCTTGTAAAATAATAGTGTGAGAATAATTCGTTGAGGGTACATATAACATTTGCAGGTGTGCAATTATTGTAAATTGGTAAAACAGTAGTCCAATAATAAATCATGAATCGATTTTGTCAAATAAAATACAAATATCGCTAATTCGTTATGGATATTAATGGAATTCATCTTATATTTTCCAAAAATATTGTTAATAGTAATATAATAGATTAAAAGATGGTAATAACTTAAAATATAATCATTTAATGACATTACACATTTATCATTACGCTAATTTTTGTATTTATCCCTAAATAACAAAATATCAGCAAAATAGAAGTTTTTGGGCCTTTTTTCAAAGTAAATAGTTCTTGAAATTCAATAAAGCTATTATAACAGCTTCTTTAAAACAAAATTGTTTTTCGAAATTTATAACAAATTAACAAGTTTTTGTCATGAGCTTTTAATGATTATGTGATATTAGATATTTTCAACCTATTATACACAAATAGATAATAAAAAACAATAATAATATAATGACAAACAAGATCAATTAGTCGCGTAAATAAAAATTCGAAAAAGATCTTAAATGAAGATTTGTCAAGTTTTTTCTAGTTTTTCGTTCTTGCAAATTATACCTTACCTTTGTACGGACAAATCATACAAAGAAACTTGTTCTCAAATGACATCATTTGCATGATAATGTTACCACATACCTTGTTTCTAATTTGATGTATTATGTATATATATTCAATAATAGGGCCCTTTTAGCGATAATAATCCTATTAACATATCATAAATTAACTAACACTACCTACCAAGTGGAATGTTTCAAGATGCCATTTCCCTTAATTCCCATCAAGTGATGATGCTTTTTGGGGTATCGAACAAAAAAAATTCCACCATTTTTATACAAAGACTAGAAAAGCATCTCTTTTGTACATATCTTTAATAACATGCCCATAACTTTCTGATATCCGCAATCCAAGCAGTAGTACTTGTACACAGTGCATTAAAACTTATTTGTACTTGTACATTATGCATTAAAAACTATCCTATTGAATCTTTTGACTTCAAAGATAAGGGTAGTTCGAAGTTTATACATCTTTAAATGTTAGTACTTTCGAATCTTTTTTACTTTGGGAAAAGGACTACCCAATTAATACACACAAGCATCAAATATAAAAATAGTAACAACATAAATCAACCCTAATAAGTAATAATATAAGTCGAAAAACAATTTGATACTTTTTATATTAAAAGTAGGCACAATACAACACACAAATGCATTTAACATAGAAGTTATATTACAAGAAACCCTAAAGACATTAAAAACACCTTAAACTAATAAGAAACCCTTTAGAAAAGGCTTTTTGTTAGGTAATTGAAATTTGCAGAGATAAAACTTCTAAATCCAGAGAATGCTAGTTATAGTTCCTTGTACATCATACAGTGAGAATTGTACATTACTCTAAACTTAGAAACTTCTGATCTGGAAATCAGCCTGCAACATCTGTTCTCTTCTTTGCATCAAGTTAAAGGTTAATTGGCTTCAACGCTCGTCAACTCCGGCTGCACCTTGCGTGGCCGACCTCTTGGCCTGCCGGTTTTGGACGACGGCGGCGAGGTAGATCCAACCTTAACTTTCTTGGCCGAAGATGGCGCGTTAGGATCTTTCTTGGGTCGTCCTCTTCCCCTCTTAACTTCGGACCCAGGCTCCGCCTGAGTCACAGCCTCTGAAACAGAAGGGTCCTTGGCCTTCGGTGGGCGGCCACGGCCGCGCTTCGGAGTTTCGGTGGGCTCCGGTCGCATGTAGTTGTCATTCAACACCACTAGCTCGCCGCTTTCAACCAATTTGTTCAAGTTATCAGTCAGGATATTGGTGTGTTCATCTGGCAAATTATCACAGGTTGATTCGATGTAGTCTGAAATCGACGATTCGCTTGCACCTTCCTTGCCTTTCAGCGAATCAATTGCAGCGAAAATCATCTGCACAAAGCACCAACAAAAATCAATTTCTAAACCTAAATTACATCCCTAAACCTAAATTCGCTCTACACCCAACAGTAAATTGAACAAAACCCAAAAACCCATATAGCTAAACCTACAAAATCTGGACTAAATAACTTGAATTAAAACTTAGGGCTTACAAAAGAAGTAAGAACATGAAATGGGTTAAAATTACCTCTGAATATGGTGGCAGTGATGGAGATTGGGTATGTTTTGCGGCGGCCATTGGAAGGAAGTGCAGGAGATTGTACAGAGAAGAGAGAAAAGGAGATGTCAGCTTCGAAGAAGCACAGTAACAAAGTGTGTGCATGGTAGAGACCTTTTGGAGACGATTTATGCGAAGAGTTTCTCGCTTCAGGAAAGAAATGGACGATCAAGATTTATTGTTGTGATTAGATCAACGGTTTTGGGTTTGTTTATGGATGGAATCACGCGGATCGGTGACGTGCCTACTGTGTAGTGGTTGTGAAGTGGTTTTCTTGTAGGAGGGAGTTTTCTCCTTCTCTCCTTTGTTCTTCTTTACATTATTAAAATCCCAAAAAATAGATAGAAATTACTTTTACTTTTATACTTTTAACCACATATCTAAAAAGAAAATGAACAAAAAGATTAGTAATGCAAGCATGCAAATCAACCAAAAATTGAACAAAATGATTTACTTGTTGGGCTAATCATCCTTTCACATATGAACAATTGGTTTCCATCTCCGTTTTTTTGTATATTCCACTCTATAACAATCATTTTTATTAGGGACCAAATCCAAAAATAAATTAAATTAAAAAATTAAACGTCTATGCAATTTAGAAAAAACATGGGACCTCTTCCACAAAAACACCAAACCACCATATGGACTATTTTTGAAGTTTACTCTATACTTTTTCATAAAGATGTAATTTTCTTTACGATGCATTATCATAAATGCTCTAAATAGAGAAAGACAAAAGCATATTAATAACAATTTAATATCATATCCTAGATTATGTTAGCACAAATTATCTAAAGCTAGCTAGGCCACACTTCACGGATAACACTATGACTAAAATGCCCATCGGTTATCCGTACTTAATTTATTCGAACCGACAAAACAAATGAAAAAAACAATTAGATCCTTCAAATTATAAAATTGACAATAACTCCCCCTTCGATATTTGAAACATAAAAATCAAGGACACTTTGGAGGGTGTTTGGCTTAGCTTTTAGGAACAAGAGAGTGTTTGGCTTAACTTTTAGGAACAAAAGTCATTTTTATAAAAGAACTTTTTGTAAAATGACTTTTTACAAAAGTTGTTTTTTAAAATGTGTTTGGATTAGCTTTTGAGGGGCAAAAATCAAAAGTTGATTTTAAAAAGCGTTTGGTTTAACTTTTATATATAAAATGACTAAAAAAGACATGCTTACCTATTTACATTGGGGGTTATAAAAGTAATTTAACTTTGAAAATGTTCAAAAGTTTCAAAAAGTCAGGTTTACCTGACTTTTCAAAAAGTTCATTTTCCTTATATCCGAAAAATAGCTTTTAAAATATCTTTTGCCTTTACCAAACACATTTTAGCTTATTTTTAACTTTTAGGAAAAGTTAAAAGATGTTTTAAAAAGATAAAACAAACACCCCCTTGGGTTTGCCTTCCTTGGTCTCCCGGTTGTTGTAGCAAGCACAACCTTGTTTATGGCCATAATGTTGTACCTCTAAGACGAAGTTTATTGTACCCAGTAAATGTGAAAATACACATAAACCTACGATTTACCTATCTTGAATCCTGATATAACTATATAACAACAAAAAGGTTTGTAGTATGCTTGACATGTGATAATGTTTTTGTTTTGAGATGATAAAGGACATTGAAGTATGGTTGTGGCTAGGAAGACCAAGAGACTAAAACGAAAAGGATAATAGGTGTATGTTAGGGGACCACAAGATTTATAATAGAAGTGCAATGGTTGTATATGATATTAGATGATGAGATGTGATAGTGGCATGATTTTTAATAATGTGATAATGTTATTACATGGAGTTAGGGAGTTATTGTAAGGTTTTTTTTTGTGCATGTAATAAATCATGAGTGTTATTTTTATTTTAGGGCTTGAAAGAACCATTGGTGTTGGGTTGGATGGAGATCAGTATTAGTATTTTGAAATTCTACATCTTTGGCCCTTATCTTTAAACAATTAGAAAAAGGCAAAACAATTCATTTCCCAAATTAATATACACAGATTTGAACTTGAATCAATCGTTTCTTGATTCTTGTTTAAGGTTTCATACTTCAACTTCCTTAGTATCTCCTTTTTTCTTAATATTTTCTTGAATGGGCCAAACGGAATGAGATGCCTCATCACCTTCATCAATACTCTCTATATCAAAGACACCAAGAAATAAATTTCCCTTATAAGAGAGACGTTCTCTTTCGAAACTTGCTTTCCCATGAAGACCCTCATCTCGATCATCAGTCAACATCATTAGCGTCTCATCAAGCTCCCCAAGCTTATCTAGAATCCATAGCCTCTCAACATCGAACTCTACAACAGATTCCTCAAGTGTCTTCGAATTCTTTAAATCCACAACATTAGTGTCATCTAAACACTTCTTGGTAATGGATCTTCTCTTCACTTTTGCCTTCTTCTTTCCATCATAATTCAAGAATCTCTCTTTGTACATTTCAAGCTCGTTTTCAAGCTCAAACTTGTCCTTCTCTAGCTTCATAACAAGTTCGTTTAACAGCTGCAAAACCTCCTTATCGTATTCCGCTTGTTCATCCATCATCCTTTGATTTTGCATGGATTCAATCTGCAGTGATACCTTATCTTCTTGAAGTCTGGTTATCATCGCCATTGCTTGGTTTGCAGCTATTGCAGACGCATTACGTTCTTCATCTAGTTCTATGTATAAACCACATACAACAAGTCTTTCGGATTTTAATTCTGCCATTAAACCATCAATCGTCGCAACTTTATTTTCTTCATCTTCTTCATTTTCATAGCCAGATGATTGCAAGAATTCGCCTTCTGCATGACATTAGAAAACTATATATAACTACATTGACTTTTTTTTAACATCAATCCTTCTACTTCCTTGATATGATTGATGTAGATTTCAAAAACTTTTAAAGAAATGTGATTGATAATATAGATTTTCGTAACATTTATTACACATCAAAACATGTGGATAATAAATTTGTAACAAAATCCGTATCAATTCTGATTTTGAAGATTTTCAAGTTTGACCTTTGTAATGAACATAGTAGTAGTGTATAGGGATGAAAGTGGGTCCAAACCCGGACCGGATGGACCCGGACACGGAAAACCCGGAACCGGTTAATGGGATTTTGTAGAACCGGAAACCGGACCGGTATATAGGAACCGGTTCCGGTTCGGTTCCGGGTACGGTACCGGGTAAAGTGAGTCTAGAACCGAAAAACCCGGAAACATCAAAGTGGGTAGGTTGGAACCGGATAAAGTGGGTTTAGAACCGGAAACCCGGAAAAACCGGAATTTTTTGGTAATTACTTACTACTTAGTGGGTTGAAATTTGAAAATTTTCATATTGATATCCCGACTTTGGGGGACTGTAACTCATTGAATACGAAACCAAATTTGACAAAATTATAGTCTAAAATCAAGTACAAACTCTAAACTACAGTCTGGAAAAAACCGCATGTCAATCTGACTTTAAATGAATGAGATATGTATGTGTTAACATTTTCACAGAATACAGAGTACAAAAAACAAATAGCTGAAAAGTTGAAAATTTTCAGTTTTGATATCCCGACTTTGGGGGACTGTAAATCATTGAATATTAAACCAAAAATGACAAAATTGTAGTCTAAACTCATGTACAAACTCTAAACTACAAGTTGGAAAAAACCACATGTCAATCCGACTTCAAACGAATTAGATATGCGTGTTTTAAAACTTTCACAGAATACAAAAAAACTGAAAAACTAAAAACTTTCAGCTTTGATATCTCGACTTTGGAGGCCTGTAAGTCAATGAATATAAAACTAAAAATGATAAATTTATAGTATAAAATCATGTACAAACTCTAAACTACATGTTGGAAAAAACCGCATGTCAATCGGAATTGAAACGAATGAGAGATGCATCTTTTAAACGTTTCACAAAAAACCGGTTCCGGTTCCTAACAACGGTTCTGGTTTTTAGACCCGTTTTACCCGGACCCGATGGACCCAAACCCGGATTACCCGGAACCCGGATAAAACCAATTTTTAAACCCGGAACCGGTTCTATATATTCCGGTTCTAACGGTTCCGGTTCCGGTCCGATTCCAGTTCCGGTCCGGTTTTCCGGTTCTAAATCTCATCCCTTGTACACGTTCATATTATCATGATGAAAGTAAGCTATCTTTACCTTTTTTGACTTGATCTTCATCATTGATCACCATGTTTTCGTCTCCATTTAAACTTGAACCTCTACTACAACTGGTTGATGAATCGGTCCACTCAATAGGGATAATCTGGTCAAAAACTTGAATGTGTCTACTCGTATTCAAGATACAAAGATCCATGACTTGTACCATTTCGTTTTCTTCATGAGATGATTGGATCTTTGACGCACTGTGGGATGATTTATCAACAGAATCCACCTTGAAGTTCATGCTGGTATACGAGCACTTTCCATTTCTGCATACGTTCATAAACTCAGTTGCATGTGCTTCACAAATTAGATTATGAAATGGGTTTATGTCGTCGTTTGGTTCTAACAGATGATCAATGGTGGAACACCAAAAGCAAGGTGGTTTAAGGGCGTAGTAAGTAGCAAATTTTCTGATGAGAAATGAGAATAAAGAGTTGAGAAGAAGCATTAGGATTAGGGTCCATTCGAGTATTGCGTAGGCTAGAATGAAGAGAGTTTTCTGGGTGGCAGCCATTGATGTTTTTGTTGGCGTTCCTCAAGTTTAAAAGAAATGAAAAAGGGAAGAAAGCAGGAGACAAAGTTGATGAAATTCGGGAAATAATGATGTTGATGGGAGCCTCTAAAATTTGGAAGACATAAAGAATGTGATGGGACCCAGTGTATTAATCATACTATTTCTACCACTAACGAGAATAAATTACAATAGTAATTGGATTTAATTGAGAGCTTGACCAGCTTTTTACGAAGTTTTGAACTTGGTTTGGGGGAAGATTCGAATTTTATTTCAAAGTTTCAATAGTTAAAATCATCCATATAAAATTATTTGATTGAGCAAGTTCACTCGAATATACTTAATACCTATTCATAATAAAACAAATTTCATATGAATTCGACCCAAACATATTAACACATACATTGGGCTCGAGTCAAGTTCTTATAAGCCCGAGTTTGACTCATTATACGTTTTGAGCTTGTATTTTGTACTAGAAATTGACTTCATAAATTTTAAGTCCGGTTCAAGCTTTAATAACCGGATTTTAACAACCCACTTTTCATATAAAATAACAACTAATTTCTTTATAGATATAAATAAATCAAATATCTACACAAACATCCATTTATCAACATTTAAAAAAATGGTACACCCTACCATATGAACAACCTACATGAAAGATCAATTGTAGAAAACAAAGTAATATTTTATTTGAACCATGAACCTTTTATATGAAATTTCGCATCTTAATCGTTAGGCTCCCATCACCGGACATATATCAACATATATCTACACATTGCAGTGGGATAATAATCAAAATCATTAAATATTAAAAATTAGAACTATCCCTATTTCAGTTACATTCGACATTAAAAATACCTTTAAACACATATGCGATGTGACAAATCATCGTATCCTAATAGACGTTGCAGTTTTGAATCACGTAATCACAAAAAACAACCGTCAAAAGCTCGTACGTGTTTGAGCAAAACACCTACACTACACTGCAACGTAGAAGTCTTGAAAATTAGATTTTGTACATTAGCTTGTTAAAAAGAGCTTAAACATTTGTATATATATGTTCGGCCATTCACTCGTATCAAAAGGAATTATATGCACTTGGTTACGTACTTACGTGGAACTGGAAGCTAAATGTAAGTTAGTTTTTGAGCTTGTAGTTTTAATGAAATAAATGATTTATTCTACTAGATGAATTTAGTAATTTTATCATTTTGTTCATACAAAAAGATAACGATTTGCCTCTTTTATTGTCGTATCTTGTTCCTCGTGTAAAATGCTTAAATAATCAAAATGTTTCGAAATAATAATAATAATAATAAAAATAAAATCAGTGGACAAAAATCAAGTAATGATTATTAAAGGCATCATTTCTTACAAAAAGTTTCATGGTGCTACATTAGCAGTACTGCAGTGGTGAGTTGTTCAAAGTGGCCATGGCCGTGTTTGATTTTAGATGTATTGACATAGGTTTTAAATGATTTCTTATTTAATTTTGGTGTATTATACGTGGTTAATGTTTAAGAAATCTGGATAGCATAATAGTATTCACATTGGTTTTAAATGATTTCTTATTTAATTTTGGTGTATTATATGTGGTTAATGTTTAAGAAATCTGGATAGCATAATAGTAATGTCATCAGATATTTTGTGTAATTGAAACTAATATATGAGCTATTAAACTTATTATTTTTACTGTATATTATATGTTTGGTGAATACGGATTGCATGTATATATAAGTCGGTATGAGAGAATAATAGGGGTCAAAGGGACCGCGCCCCCTTGTTGGGTCCTAGGGGCAACACGTGTAGCGGTTTGGGGCAACGACCCAAAAGGACTTTGTAAATTTCAATTAGTTTCTTTATGAAAAATCTGAATTCTAATAAGTGATTACGGTAAGATTGACAAATCTCGTCAATTTTGGAAACAATTAATTAGGCTATTAAATCCATGATTCTCTTAACTAGCTTAGAAGATGTAAACCCTAATATGACAAAGTATAAATACGGCTCCTCTATTGAGCCATCAAGAGGACCCTCTTAACTCTCTCTCTCTCTCTCTCTCTCTCTAAATAATCTCAGAATTCACTACAATTTGGCTCATGTTTCTGTGCTTAGATTCGTGAGTGTCCATTTGGATTATCCTATAATGGATTTCTTGTAACTCATGTATAGGATAGAAGTATTAGTTCGGAAAGTGAACTCACACGATCCATTGATAATTTGGTTCTCAACTATAACCCTACTATACCCTAACGCATAATAAATGAATGCTACTCGAATTAAGCCGGTTACCAGGTAATGTATATGACATGGCATATGTGATGTTGTTGAGATTATTATACAAAGTTAGTAAGCTTACGCCAACAGTTAATTAGCTTCTGTCAATGTCACTGATAACGTCTATTTTATACATATATTGTTGTCTTATTATTTTATACTATGTCTTGATATTATTTGGAACAAAGGGTACTTATAATACTTTGAATTAATATTTTACAAATTTAATATGTTGTTAGAACGAAAAGGAAGCAAAAAGACTGGAAAATGGAGCTGGAATGCAAAAATAAGGTTTAATGTTGAAGTACGCTTCTATGCCCAACATAGAGAGGTCTTCTATGCTCAGCGTAGAAGGTCCTATTGAACACGAGCGATTAATGATCTACGCTCAGCGTAGCTAAAATTACGCCCAACGTAGTACGTCGGCTGAAATCTTCATAAATAGACATTTATCTTTAACCTAAAGGGAGATTCAGATTTCTAATCAATCTTGGTCGACATGTAACATCCTGTTTCAGATCGTCCGTGATTTAGGGTTCGTGGGTTGCAACCCGGGCATGAGGAAGCCTCGGGACTGCGACGAGTTGCTAGAAGCATAGGGCTTCTCGTCACCTTTCCGTGGATATGAGGTTCATTGGAAACGGAGTTATATCGAGGAAACTATGGAAGTTTGAAGTTTTGACAAGATAAGTCCCTTATTTGAGAAAGGTGGCAGCTGAGTACGTTGGGCGTACGTGTGTGTACGCTTAGCGTACTCATGTGCGTGACTTTTAAGCGGAGCCACCAAGTACATTTGGCGTACCAGAGGGTACGCCGGGCGTACTAGGCACATAATGAAAACCCTAAATGAGGGGGTGTCCCTATATAAAGAATAAGATGGCCTCATTCCTGGCCACCATCCTCGGACAATAAACCCTATCAAACCCTAAATACTCATCCATTGAGCTTGTGTGACCATTTGTGAGCTATTGAGTGATCTTGTGTTTCTTTGGAGTGAAGAAGGAGCCTTGCAGAAGAAAGAGTGGGATTCCAGGCTTTGGATCTGAGCTTATCTGAGTTGGAAGCTTCATGTTGAGGTATAAAGCTCAATGATTTCTTAGTCTTTTGATTTGTGCATCATTTTAGTGTATTTTAGGGTTTTAGTCCCAAAGTTGGAGACTTTATGAGATATTGAGCTCCAGAGATTATCATCAGCTTCTTTGAGTGTCTATAGTGGTGTAGAGTCATAAAAATCGAGACTTGGACGTTTGAATCAACCCATGCATGGGATGTGAACATTTTGAGATAAAGAGTGAGAGTTTTGGGTGTTTGTGACTTTATCAGCCATGCAAAGGCTTAAAGTCACAAGTTTTATGGAGTAAGAGCCATTAGGGAGTCCAGATATGAGATTTGAGTTAAGGTCTTAACGGGTTAAGACCAAAGGAGTAGGAAGATCAAACCTGGACGTACGCTGAGCGTAATTCCAGTACGCCCCGCGTACTGACCAAATGTCCCCGATGGCCAATATGGATTCGTGCGTACGATGAGCGTACCAAGGGAGGTACGCCCCGTGTAACCTCACTGTGGACTTTTGGGCTAAGTCTCATTTTGGGCCTGGAGTTTGGGCTTGTTGCACTAGAGTTTTGGACCAGAGGAATATATATGTGCCTTGGGCCCTTGAGTTGGGCTTGTCACTTGGACTTGAGAGTTGGGCCTCGGGAGAGCCCATTCATTATTGGGCCTTGGTGGGCCCAATGAGTTTTAGGTTATTGATGGGCTAGTTAGTGGACTACCTTTAGACCTAAAGAGTGAGGGTTTGGACTTAGATCTTAATTGGGTAATTGTGGATTTTGGTCCAGTGTTAGAGGCCGGTGTGCAGCAACAACATCTATAGGAGTTGTTCATCATCCGAGGTGAGTCTTCTCACTATACTTACCTAGAGTGGTAACCTTTGTGTGACCGGAGGGTATTATGTTCTAATTTGAGTTATGTGATATTATGCATTTTGTCTGTGTGATATATATGCTATATTCTGTGTTTTACTGAGATAGGACCGGAGGGTCCAACCCGAGTTGTGGGACCGGAGGGTTCCCACTGAGACAGGACTGGAGGGTCCAAACCGAGTTGTGAGACCGGAGGGTCTTCACTGAGATACCGGACTGGAGGGTCCACCCGAGTTGTAGGACTGGAGGGTCCCACTGAGACACATTGACTGGAGGGTCTTATTGAGCTATAGCCATGAGAGGCTAATGAGATATGTGTGGTATTTTGGGGAACTCACTAAGCTTCGTGTTTACCGTGTTATGTGATATGTGTTTCGGGTTCTTCTCAGGATCGCGGGAAGGCGCTGACTTGATTGTACACACCAAAGAAAGAGTTATGTTTTGAGGATCCTGGATTATTACAATTATAGAGTTGCGTTTTTGTAAATTAAATAAAAGGGATTTCTGTGAAATGTGTTATGAGAATTATGTGATTTTAAAATAAAAATTTTGTTTGAAAATTTGCGGTGTTACAAGTTGGTATCAGAGCCTTGGTTTGAGAGATTCGGATGCACCTTCGGGTATGTCTGGACTCAAACTAAGGATTTGAGAAAATTTTTCAAAAGAAATGATTTTTCTAAACTGAGTAAGAGATTTTAAGAGAAAACAAGAAGGAGCAGTGTGTACAATCAGCCAGAGCCGAACGGTGATTTCCCAAAATACCCTTAACTGTTTACTTTCCGAGATATTTATGAGATACTTATAAGATATTAGAAA